GCAACCTACTCTTCAAGATTAACGCTAAGATGGGGGGCATCAACACTACTGGAGTCGTAGACCAAAAGTATGTTTTCGGCATATAATACATGGAACTTTTAAAAGAATCCCATAGGTAACATAACGAGAATATAAAACTCACTTGCTTCGTGTGTGCTGACCAGATAGCTCTAGTACTTAATATCGAATGCCACGCTTAACCGCGTGGCCCTGCCGTGCCCCCGAAGGGGCGTTGCCCCTGCCGGGCATTCATGGTACTTACACATTATCAGCACTTGATTATTTCCTTTAAACGTCTATCATACGAACATATTTGCGACAACAGGATGGTAGTAACTCTTCAACCGCGCACTTGGCAATCCTCTTGTGGCAACTGGCTCAAACTTCTCAATCTCAATCTCAATAATAATGCGCAGGGCGCTAATGAGCGCATAACACGCATATTGGTGGTGATTGGTTGCTGGGGAAGGGGGAAGGATCAAGTGCAAGCGGAAGTGTCAGTGTTTGTGAAGGTGTTAGTAGTGTTAAGTGTTTATTTAGTTTGTTTGTGAAAGTGCTTAGTGTTTTAGCTTCAATTACGTGTTGGGCCTGTTCCAGTCGCGTGTGTACGTGGAAAAGAATGAGTGCTTGTAAGAGTTAGTGTTGGTGTGGTATGTGACAAATTTACTGGTGTGTGAGTTCCTTGTGTTGCCCGAGTGTGCTGCGTGTAAGTATTCGTGTTTGTTGATGTCTACAAGGTTGTTTGTGATTTTGTACATGATTGTAAGTCTGTGTGCTTGTCTTCGTGTCTCGAGCAGGTCCATGTTAATCTGTTTTTTTATGTGAGATGTAATACCAGGAGTATGTGAGTAATTGCGAGTAATAAACCTGGCAGCCCTAGTATTAACCTGCTCGAGTTTCTCAATGTTGTGTTTAGTGTAGGGGTCCCATACAGCCGTACAGTACTCTAGTGTTGGACGTACAAGTGTGTTGTAAGCTATGTGTTTAATGTCCGGGGTACAGTTGTGTAGGTTCCTCCTCAGAAACCCCAGTGTTCTGTTGGCTTTGTTAATGATGAAGTCGGTGTGTGTGTTAAAGGTGAGATTGTTGGAAGATGATACCAAGGTATTTGAGATGCTGTAGTGTTAAGGGATGGTTGTGTAAGGTGTAAGTGTAGTGGATAGGTGTGTGAAATGGAGAACTTTGCATTTCGGTCTAAAGGACTTTAGCCATAGTCTTTCCCACTGTTTAAGCGCGTCAGTGGTTTTTATAGGTCGTAACAAAAGGCTGTCGTCAGCAAAAAGTCTAGTAGAAGAATTAGGAGTCGAAAGTGGAAGGTCATTTATGTACAGAAGGAAAAGAAGGGGGCCAAGAACGGTGCCTTGTGGGACACCAGAAGAGACAGGGACAGGGTCAGAAGATACTCCGTCGAGTAAGACGCGTTGGGTCCTACACGTCAAGAAAGCAGTGATCCAGTGAAGTATTGGTCCTGTGATCCCGTAATGTCGTAATTTAAGAGTCAGTCTTTTGTGGGGAACTTTGTCAAAGGCTTTGGCAAAGTCAAGTAGTATGGCGTCAACTTGTTTGGTGTCACGTCTGTCTAGTTGTCGTACAATGTCATGATGAGTAGTGATTAGTTGGGTCTCACATGATCGTCTGGGCCGAAAACCATGTTGTGAGTCTGTAAGGATGTTGTGGGTATCAATGTGATTTATTATTGTTTATGTATTGTGTTCGAAAATTTTGCAATCTATGTGAGAGAGATGGGGCGATAATTCGTCGGGTCAGTTCTGTCGCCTGTCTTGAAGAGGGGGTGATATTTGCACAAAGCCAGTCAGTTGGTAGGGTGAATGAGGCGAGTGATTGGGAAAAGATAGATTGAAGGATGGGGGCAAGGACAGGGGCACAGGACTTGAGGATTAAGGCGGGGATCTGATCTGGTCCAGTGGCTTTGTTTGTGTCAAGAGTAGTCATTAGTTTCAGTATGCCGTTAGTCGTGATGTCAAGCGGCGGGATTGGGGGATAAGGTCTATCTGGAATGTTAGGTGTATTATCGTCTTCGTGTGTGAAAACAGACTGGAAGTGTGTGTTGAGTAATTGTGATTTGAGTTCTGGGTCAGTTACAAGAGTGTTGTAGTCTTTCAAGGCTGTGATCGCCGTTGTGTCCTGTCTGCGCGACTTAAAGAATTTGAAGAAGTGTTTAGGGTTATTTCTGACGTTGTTTGCGAGGTAGGTGGAAATATGTTCGTGTTCTGCTTTCTTTATGTTCTTGGAAAATGTTTTTTGGTGAGTTGAAAGCAGTCCAATTTTCTGGGTGTTGTATGTTTGCGCCGTCTGTAGAGTCGCTGTTTTTTCGATGTTGTCTGCGTAGCTCCCTGGAGAACCAGGGAAGTGTATGTCTACTTGAAGGTGTTTTCTGTGGGATGTGTTTGTTCATGGATGTAAGTATGGCGAGTTTAAGGTTATCCCAATTGGAGGTGAATGGTCTTGAGTGGGGATCAGTGGAAAAGTAGTCTGTGCTAAAGTTGGATGTCCTGTGTGATTGCGTCTAAGTCAGCTCTAGAAAAGAGGAAAATTGGTCTGCGTCTCTGTTTTTGTCTGGTAGGTCTGAGGTCTGCGTCAACGAGGACGATGTCATGGTCACTAAGTCCTGGGATAACCTTGGTGTTTGTTATGTCTAGCACGTTGTTCGTGAGGAAAAGATCTAGAATGTGTGAGGTGGTGTGAGGGTCACCGACGCCATTGGGACGTGTCGTTTGTGTTCGTGTTGGAGTGAGTACTGTTTGCGAGAGTGAGTGAGTATTTATGATGTCCATGAACGTGTCGTGTAGTTGGCGTCTGTTTGTGTGGGGAATGATGGGGGCCGCAAGGTCGGTGAGTGGGGGATCGTGAGGGGACAGAGCAGTCCAGTCTATGTCAGGGAGGTTGAAATCGCCTGTGAGCCATATGTTTTTGTCTGCGTTAATGCGTGTTAGAGATAGTTCAAGGTTTTGTAGGTATTCTGTGTTAGTAGAAGGCGGTCTGTAGAAAGCGGCGAGGAGGAGTGATTTACAGTTATAGAGTTGGAGTTGGATCCAGACGATTTCACAGTCCGTGTCAAGGTCAGGTCTTGGTTTAACAGTAAGTTCTGGTTTGATAAGGCTGGGGTAAGGAAATAATCATGAGATGAGTGAGAGGTCTGGGAGTCAATGGAAGGCCTAGAATAGTGGGATATGGAGCTCAGTTATATGGATGGGAGTCTGATGAGAGGCATTATTGGGGTTGAGTGCTTGGTTGTATGTTGGTGAGAGTAGTGAGTATATGGTGTGTGGGTGGGGTTAAGAGGAAGACTGTGTTGTAAGGGAGGGCTGTTTATGTCTTGTGAATGGAATGTGTTGAAGGAATTGGAGACTGTAATGGGAGAAGATGCGAAACACGAGCTTGAGAAATTAGGGAAGCCACATCCATCGCAGATCCACGCAACGCTATGTTAATAACCAGTATATAACTGTGTGAAGAAGCCGATGCAGCTGACATGATACCAGCCAGCATGCTCGGATCTCTCACAGCAGTTATCGCACTGTATGGCCCTCTGGCCCCATTTGACAGCCCTCATGCAGATCATGCACGGGTACTTGGGGCAGAAAGGGCCAGGGTTAACATTAGCAAAGGAGTAGCTGGGGAAGGATGGTGTGCCTGGAGTGTTTATTTGTCTTGTAGTGTTTATTAGCGTACCGTGGGGTTGCAAGGGTGTGGAACGGGTCAGCGCTTGTTTGAGTTGTGTGGGTGTTTAGATGTTGATTCATGGGTGTCTACGTGTGTTTAAGGATTTGTGCATGAAGTGTGAGTACGATGAGTGTAAGTGTAAGTGCAAGAAAGGTAATGTGTAACAGTACGTGACATCTAATATTGTTTTCTATTACCTTCATGTGCGTGAGCGAGTAACGCGTTGTGTCGTCGGCCTGGAGCGAACTGTCAAGTAGCCGGTCATTGCGCGGAAAAGGCGTGTGTGTAAACATGAAGGAGTCTGAATCTTTCGGAATTGGCGAATGGGGCATGGCAAGATTCCATAGATTACTAAAAAATACTCAACTTTACATACATTGCTAACCATATATTTTAATTGATACGATTTTGATATGAATATTGTATAATATAACTTATTTTTTCTGTGAGCTTATTTTTTCTACACAACTTTCAATTGATAGTGGGTAAGACGTTATAAATGTTTATACAAGTGCATCTTGCAAAAGCACACAACACAGCACACACACACACACACACACACACACACACACACACACACACACACACACACAACACACACACACACACACACACACACACACACATGCACGCACACGTACATAAACATGTACATGCACACGTACACGTACACATACACGTACACGTACACGTACACGATTACTCCTGCCATCCACTACAGAGGAGATTATGTCATTATATGTTGAGATTGGTTGCAAGCTGTATGTTGGGACTCAGGAATTACATGAAATAAATGTGACTTTTCAGCTGATGGAACAACTCCTGATGGTAATGGGCGCTGATGTCAATCACCCGTCGGCTGGGGATGCCAGGACACCCTCCATGGCAGCTGTAGTTGCATCCATTGATAAGTATGTTAGTAAATACGCCGTCGAAGTGAGGCCTCAGAAACATCGAAATGAGATCATCCATGAGTTCAAGGAAATGACGAAGTAAGAAAACCAGTGCTACCTTTATAATACTTATTTATGGAGTTTGTTTCCTAATTATAGTGTTACGATATACCATTTTAACAGAACCGATTGCAGTTCCCTCTAGCGTTAACTTCACTACATATATTTCAACATCAGTGTACTTTGTGAAGCAGAACCATAGATAATTGACTCTTCCTTACTTCAATCAGGAACCTTCTGAAATCGTTCTGCGAGGCCCTAAACAACTGTAAACCAAAACGCATCATTGTTTATCGAGACGGTGTAAGTGACATTCAGTTCAGTCAGGTTCTTCAGCACGAGTTGCTAGCGATTCGTGAAGCA